TTCACGATGCTTATCTCGAAGTTTTGAGATATTCAGTTATTACGAATTTTATGAATAATTGGAACTTCATCAAATTTTCTCCAATTTTCAGAAGTATGATTGTCACAATTATGGAGTTTGAAGCAGCATTATTCTAATCGGGTGCGGCGAAAAGTGATCCTCGTTACCACAAGTTCGTGTCACGCGAGTGCGAACATGAAAGTGCGACATCTGTACTTCGGTGCGCGCTGACATTGTGTGCAGACTGCGGAGTACAGTACAGTACCTGTGGACTCCTTGACGCGGTAGTCGAACGAGTCGCAGAGTTCGTGTTGAGTGTACGGACTCCGTTCCAATTGAATGCTGAGTTTGGTGCAATTGCGACGGATTCCAAGTCCGCCTTCTCCAGGATCTTCGTCGATCGATTCCCGACTGCCACCCGTACTCCCGAATTCCGCCGCCATGGATGGTGAGTACAAATTTTCACGCTCACTTTCGTGCGACACCTGTATTATGTTCAACGAAGTAAAGCACCGGATTGTGTTTTCGGCGCGGAAGATGTCGCTCAAAGCCCGCGTGCTTCACGAATTTGCAAGATTCAGAATTTCGAGCATAGAAGTTCTCGAATTCCCAAGTGCACTGTTTTCACTGTGTAATTTGACACGAAAAGGGCACGTGAAACAAACGCGAACATTTCGGAGATGGAGAAATGAGTTATGTTCACCGGTCAACGGCGTGAAACAATCTGAGACTCAGGGGGTCGTGTCCGAATAGTTTTCCTCCCATCGAAACGCGCGGGGGTAGGCTTGAGTGAGAAGGTTCTTTTGTTTTGGGCTTTTCCTTTCATTCCACACCCCCGAAACCCTCCATTTCATTCGAGATCTTCATCTATTTAGAAAAATAATATAAGGAGACGGGGGTCTGAAGAATTCCAGCCATTTCCTTTTGAAACCAGCTGTGTCTTCTATTTCGAAGAAAAATTGTTCCAATTTGCTATAATTTTGCACAAGGACATTTCGGGGAATTCCCTAGTGTTTATAAGAAAAGGAGATCCTTGGCTTTTTCATTTTCTCTGGGAAACACTTTTACTTTCAAGCGTATAAAAACCTAATCGGTTTATCATTTGAAGCCGATTAGGTCACTTTTCGAAAACCCTCTCTTCTTACGACCGACGGCCCTTTTTTTAAATACAAATAAATGACTTTCCGAAAAAATGTGCAGTATAAATCAAAATTTGTAAAGCTTTTTAAAGATGGACCCCTTTAGAAGAAATTGAGATATTTTTTTTCAAGATACATGTGTCTGTTTGCCCATATAAGTGATTTTATTTAATACAGAACTGTACTACGTAAGTCATTTTACGGTTTTAAAACAAAATAAAACACTATTGAAAATAGAGAAGATTGATTCACGTTACAATAAAGTTTTATAATTCTGGTTGTCGTTTTCAAACGAAAGACTAAACTCTGTTTAAAAATACTCTGCAGTCAATTTGAATTAAGAAGCATTTTGGGATGAGCATCTATTCAAACTTTGAAATTACAAACAAATTATTAATTTTCGAGAAAATGTAAGAAACATCTTAAAAATAAAAGAAAACCACTGCTGATCAGAAATGAGAAAAGTGTTGAATACCAACATGTACAATATTCACGCGAAATGGAAATATATATTTAAAAAACAAGAATTAATCACTGTTCATTTAGCAAAATAATCGATTAAATCTTGCGAAAATTAGTTGAATAATACCTCTGCTGATACAATTTTAAAAATGTGAAACTCCAAAACAGTAATTTAAATTTCAAAAATATAAATCGCCAGAAATATACACGTCAATTTAAAGATGAAGTTTTATAAATGGCCAGACACTCACACTTTTGAAAACATCAAATCACTTGTCAAATGTAGCCCTTTCACGATATTTAAAAAAGCTGTGGGCATGTAGTTCAAAATTCCCCTAGTCCTCATTTGATGAAAAAAAGCATACAATTTCTTTATTAATAATGCACCACTGCTGTTCTCTTGACTGCTGGGGAAACAACATATTATTTTCTGTGCGTTTAAATCACCGCTGCATTAAAAAAGAATATTTTATTTTCAATCGAATAATCGCACCATTGAGAGCAGAAAATGTTCCAGTGATGACCTTTCAGCGAACTCAAATTCAATTACACGCGCCCGGAACAGGATCATCGGGGCTTCCCCAACACTTGATTTTTTTTTCCGCGGAGAGAAAAATTTGCGTAAATATTTCCCGTCTTTTGATGTACAGTACGTTATGAAATGAGTAGGATCAAGTTGCTGGTCTTACGGGGGTTCGTGTCGTGGTGCAATTTCCGAGAAGATTTCTCGCTGAAGAATAAGAAGATCATGAAGATGAGAAGAAGAAAAAAAACATACACACGAACAAGAGTATATGTATGGAGAGAAAAAATAATATTTCGTGGCTCTCGTCCCACCGGAAACGGGAGATAAAAAACTGGTGGTTGTTGAGGGATGTGGGAGGACCTTTTATCAGGGCCCCGGAATCGGGATTTTTGCAAATCAATCACGACGCATAATTGAATTCAGTTCCCACAAAGAAGAGGGAGCATCAGGTATATTGATGGTAATTTATCCCTCGCCACTTGATGCTGGCGTCTTCCGGATTTTCCGTCACATTTCCGGGACTATTTTTTCTTCGGCTCTTTATTTGAGGAAATGCAGTAATTCTTTTTTTTCTTCTTCTTTCTAGAATTAAAATAATACGAACTTGAATAAAAAACCCCCTTCATCAGCGTTTATATTGGCACTGATGATGACTTATGTTGCTGCAAAAGCAAAACTCAATATGAGGACTCCTGAATTAGGGGGAAAGGTTAACGTACTTCCTGTCGTACCGAACCTTGCAGTAATCATATTACAGTATTATAGTTTTGTACCAATAGTTTTTATAGATTCTTCAGGAAAAAAAACTGCATCTGGATGTTAATTGGAGTATTTACGAGTGTAAGAAGTTGTTGATTGCATTCAATTTTAACAATATTAGTTGAATACGATTTTCCACTATTTATCCTGTTTTTTTTACACTGTAGTACTACCGTACTTCTATAAGAAATATGGAATTATTGATGCTTGATGGATAATTTAAATTTTTTTTACAGGAATTTCCACAAATTCCTGTATCACCATCATTATTTTGAGGGGAAAAAACAAAATTTTCCAATGATGTGATTTGATAAAATGGAATGTTTACCATCATTCAATAACTTGTTCATGCTCAAATAAAAGGCTAATGTACATTAATCTTGGAGCACAGCATACCAGACCTTCCCTAAGTTTATTGTACAATCATCACTTTATTTGACTTACCTGGGGATGATCAGCCACACCTGCATTTTTGAAAGAAAAAAAGTTATAAGGATTGTGCAACTTTTTGAAAATGGTAGCAGGTTATATGTTCTATATAGGTCCACTGATGAGGTACTGTTTTTCCTTGTGCCCAATGCACCAGGTGTGGCCCTGTGTTGCAAGCAGTTTTTAAATCAATCAAAAAAATTCTCCAAAAGTTTGAGTTTTTCCTCTTTGGTGTGTAGTAATATGTGAGATCATACCAAATCCTGCAAGGGGTAATAATATGAGCATTGGTTTCTATGTGTCCAGGTCACACATTCAATGTGTATGCTTGGTTACTCTAATAGACTAATACTAACCATATACATGGGATGAGTGTACTGATGTTTAATTTGGTTATGATGGTCCCTTATATAGTACTGTATGTGTCAAATGTTTTGTCTTCCTTCCTGCTAAAGGGGCCTGTATGCATGATCATAAGGGTTTTGTCATATGGACCCAAGGTCACATATTCCCAGCATCAGTGGTTCTCAGCCACGCCTAGTCAATTTATTGTACGAAATTCATTGCAATTCTGAATTTATTCCAAAAGTATCACATATTTGACCAATGTATATTACTGCACAGGTTGACTATACAGCAATTTTCTCAGTATGAAGAATATTATTTGGGCCCCATATAGGAGTCTCTATATATACCCAGTATGCTGTAATTGTCTACAAGAAAATTCTCTCGTTAATGGGGGTTTTTCCAATCACCTTGGATTTTATTGCAGAGAGAGGCCTGCCATGTTATTTTGAAAGAGTAGAAGTCCACATTTATCTGAGTTCTGGGTCACACATTAATTTTGAATTAGTTTCCACAGTTTAAATTTTGCATACTTGGGATATGTGATCCAAAAATTCAATTTAAACTGAAATCGATCCATGAGCTATTCTGTTGTACCAGCTTTCCAATAATTAGTATGTACAGTATACAGTATAATGCAATCTCTTGCGAATTATCTTGATTTTTAATGCTAGGAATTTTTGTTTCTTTTGGGGTATGATTTTTAATCTCCCCACCGTTTCTGGAAATGGAGTGGAAAATAAGAATGTTATTTACCACCAGTTTTATACACAACTGGCTAATTCAAGATTTTCTCCGTGTATACACGTAATCTTTTGAAAATTAAGTTTCTCTATAATACATCTCATTTGGGGGTTAAATACGACAACAAATCAATCCGAGTTTGTTGAAAAAGTGGTTTTATATTTAAGAACATTCAAGAATGTTCCAGTCTTATCAATTTTATGATCATTTTATTGAATTACGTAACGAATTCGTGGCGTACTCTGTCATACCGGACCCTATATATACTGTACTGTATTGCCATTACAATAATACCTCGATCTTTCAAGAAATTCCTCCCGGATTTCTACACCAGGTTTTTCGAGTGTCTCTCGCTCGTTCATTGTTTTGCCTGAATGGGACCAGTTGTGTGCCCTTGATCCTCTCGCTCAGGCATCAGGGCCTGGGATCTCTGAGGGAAAAGGTCACCTGACAGCAGCCAGGTTTCTTTTTTTTTTTCTTCTTCTCGGTTTTCCTTCCCATAAAATAACATATCCCCAGAAAAAGCACCCGCCTGGCTCTCAGACATTCGTCTCCTCCCCTCCAATAAACGAAAGGCCATTCGTCTGTTTCCACGACTCCTCCCGATTTAATTCGCAATTTCCATTAATTTCCCATGATTCACTTTCCGAAAATACCCACGAGACAGAATGAGAGATTTATTTATTTTTTTGCTCTTCTTTCTTTTCGCGGTGGCCCGTGACACTAAATATATATGCAGCGCATGTTATACATTATTATAAGCTAATCAAGGACGATGCCATCGGCATCTGGATTGTGCGAGTTTTCATCATCAACCGCTTCATCCACTGTGTGCAGAACGGGTTTGTGGCTTTGGATTGGCAACACTACCAGAGACAGTAACATTTTCCTCTTGCAAGCCATCACAGCATCCTGGACTGTAGGGAAGAACCTTTGCTGAGGTACTTCATCACTGAAGGACATTTTCCTGAACATGTGCAAGACGGGTTCTGTGATGGATGGAATAAAAGAGAGAAAAAAATATTTATTGTAGGGTATATATATGTAAATTAACACATACTGTATATACATAAATAAAATACTGTATGTATAAATAATACTATACATTATTAGATATTGGAGGAGCCAGGAATGAGGCTTTTGCCCATCAGTTGACACATTTAAAAATTCCATTTAGATTATATATTTCCTTGTGAATTAATTACATTTCAATTATACCCTTCAGTTCAGAGTCTTAATCAAATTTTGAGTTTTTGTCCTAGAGAAAAAGTTAGTTAACCAAATTCTGGCTATAATTGAGGACTTTTTCTGAGTACCAAAGTTATTTGTTAACCAAGGGTCCACTTCACATGTGTGGTGAATGTATATATTGGCTGATAATTTTTGGCATATTTCTTGGTAATGTTTTGGTTGAAGGATGGAGTAGAACATACTTTTTACTGAGTTATATAGACAGTATGTGATGATTTCCTGCCCAGTGTTCCAATGTTTGCTCATTCAGGTAAACCTAAATAAACCTAAATAAGGTTGGAAATAATATAGTGTACTCCATCAAATATAGTGAAGAAATATGGCCAACTTTCCACATTTGCATATTTCAGGAATTTTCAGCAAGTATTCTAATATTGATACAGATAATGCATTTAAAAAGTTGAATAATCTTCCATGAAGGTAATTAATTTAGAATCATGTCCCATTGGAAAATATTTAGTGCTGAATTTGCAATTTTTGCAAATAAATGCAAAGGTTTCTTTGAAATATTGATGGAAAATTCTTTGCCATTACTCTCAGCAGGGTTAGCATTCTTTTGTTTGTCTCAAATTATGTGTGTTTCAGTGAGTTTCTTACTCAAAAAGTCAGGGGGTCATTTCAAGTACAGTAACAGACATAATTTTTTAAAGCATGTCTTCAATAGCTCTATGTGAGGGCTTTAAAAGCACTGTACCTGTTGGTCCAGAAAAGAGGACCTGGATGTTGATCCTGTCATAGTCTTGCACTAGACTCTTGAAGAGTTTCACACCAGCCATGTCTATGAATCCTATGCCACTCAGGTCTATGAGAAGGTACCTGAATGGCAATGGGTGTCCAGTGGTGTCCACATGGATGCTGGTTCTTCTGAGCCTCAGGCCAGTGGACCCTGGCAATGCCAGACAGTCACCAACTGAGACCCCAGCTGAAAGGGATCTCCTGTCTATTTTGATCCCTCTGATCTCTGTTGATGAGTTTGTCCCTTCTTGTTGGTCTTCAAAAGTCTCCCTAATGGTTGATGACACAACACTCTCATCTTTGAAATTCACCTGGGGGAAAATAAGGAGCATAACTTTCTGTACACAGTATAGTGATTTTCAATTCACTGTAAATAAGGTTATTCACAAATGTTGAAGCAACACCACTAAAAAAAAAATTAAAAAAGGAAAATGCATCAGTAACAAACACACAGCTTAACCTTCCAAAAACAATTGTGCATTATACACAATACTAAAATTGTTACTAAAATTGACTCCTCTGAAATATGTATTTTAGCTTTATTAAGGAAGACTCAAAATGGGGTCTCACAGCACATAGACAGCATAGGCAAAAAGGGCTCATCCAGTTTGAGAATTCTGGAAATCCCACCAAAAATGTACAAAAAGAACTTCAAAATATTGAAATGCTAATATAATGGAAATTACCTATAGAGACATCTATACATCCACATTGAAACAGTTTGTCTTTGATACCCAGGACACAGCAGAAACTATTCTCTTTTTTAAATGAAGGAGACGCATATTTGTTTTCAAACTATAAGCAAAATGGTTTCCTTGCCCAAGAAAAAAACAAAACATAAGAAAAACTCACTCTAGAATCTTTCAAAAATTTCTCTGTGGCCCCCTTTGAAGCCTCATCAAGCTTCTCAGTCCTGGCCTTGCAAAAGCTGCAGCAGTTGAGCCAAATCAATGGACATCGTTCACAGCAAGTGTCATGTCCTTGCTCATTTGCAGCAGCAGCAGCACTTGCTGCTGCTGCTGCACCACCACTACCAGCAACAGAGTCGCCATTGCTGTTGTCCCCAGAGGTTGTGAGGACGGCGGCAGATGGCGCTCTTGACTGCAGCCGTAGCTTTTCGGCTCTCTTGAGTCGCTTGATGGCCTGTTCGTGCCACTTGACTGGGTCAAGGCCGGTCATGTCAAACAGCACTTCCCGGAAATGGTCGCCATTGGCAAAGTGGAGACCGGCGCCGTAGTGGAATATCTTGATGTTGTGTATCTCGTCTGCCTGTTTTTTTGTTAGTTTTCCCGCAACAGAAATTAAGATACAGTACTGCATAAAAAAATACACTGTATATATATATACTGTATCATAAAAAATATACTGTATCATAAAAAAATATACTGTATCATAAAAAAATATACTGTATCATAAAAATATACTGTATCATAAAAAATATACTGTATCATTAAAAATATACTGTATCATAAAATGTATGTATAGGTGGGTTCTCTTTGTAGAATGAAATTCAAGGGGCCATGACATGCGGGGGATGACAGATCTCAATATTGGAGCAAACAAACATTGGTTATACAGAGAAAACCGTTGTATATAGACAAAATTGTTTTAGAGATTGCTTTTCATCATTTAGTCTGAAAAGGAGTTAATCATTCTGGACCACCCTCTATAGAGATATACAATCAATTATACTCCTGAAGCTCACTCCAGTTAAAATTCAATTGGAAAATCAAATAAAAAATTCTGGGCTACACCTGGTATTGTTATAAAACCAATTGCAATGTAATATTTATATTCAAAATTCACTTTTTGATAATTTCACCAAAAATAAAAATCAAAAAAGTATTCTGGGCTACCCTGTATACTGTAGTTATAAAATCAATAGCACAGCAGCATTTATAATCAAAATTCTGTTTTTTTTTAAAATTTCACTAAAAAGAAAAATAAATCAAATATTTTGGGCTACCCTGTATGCTTATTGCACACTATCATTCAAAATTCTGTTTTTCTTTAATTTCACAAAAAAGAAAATTCTTTGAAAAGATTTATCAAACATTCTGGGCTACCTTGTACAGTTATATAAAATCAATTGTACTGTAATACTACTTGTATACAAAATTATTATTTTTTTATAATTTCACTAAAAATAAATTTAATTGAAAGGAATTTTTTTCAAACATTCTTGGCTACCCTGTATAGTTTTTCAATCTATTGCACAGTAATGTTTATATTCAAAATTAAGTTTTTTTGTGAATTTCAAAACAATAACATTATCTGAAAAAAAACACCTGTCATTCGCAGTATCTTACTAAAAATAAGAAATAAAACGTACTGCGTCAAAACGTTGAGAGTCCACAAAAATGCCTGTCCTTGGAATCTCGCCCAAAGTACAAGCATACGCATGCTGATTCCTCCATAATGGTCGCCATTGGCAAAGTGGAGACCGGCGCCGTAGTGGAATATCTTGATGTTGTGTATCTCGTCTGCCTGTTTTTTTGTTAGTTTTCCCGCAACAGAAATTAAGATACAGTACTGCATAAAAAATACACTGTATATATATACTGTATCATAAAATGTATGTATAGGTGGGTTCTCTTTGTAGAATGAAATTCAAGGGGCCATGACATGCGGGGGATGACAGATCTCAATATTGGAGCAAAAAAACATTGATTATACAGAGAAAACCGTTGTATATAGACAAAATTGTTTTAGAGATTGCTTTTCATCATTTAGTCTGAAAAGGAGTTAATCATTCTGGACCACCCTCCATAGAGATATACAATCAATTATACTCCTGAAGCTCACTCCAGTTAAAATTCAATTGGAAAATCAAATAAAAAATTCTGGGCTACACCTGGTATTGTTATAAAACCAATTGCAATGTAATATATATATTCAAAATTCACTTTTTGATAATTTCACCAAAAATAAAAATCAAAAAAGTATTCTGGGCTATCCTGTATACTGTAGTTATAAAATCAATAGCACAGCAGCATTTATAATAAAAATTCTGTTTTTTTTTAAATTTCACTAAAAAGAAAAATAAATCAAATATTTTGGGCTACCCTGTATGCTTATTGCACACTATCATTCAAAATTCTGTTTTTCTTTAATTTCACAAAAAAGAAAATTCTTTGAAAAGATTTATCAAACATTCTGGGCTACCTTGTACAGTTATAAAAAATAAATTGTATTGTAATACTACTTGTATTCAAAATTCTTTTTTTTTTATAATTTCACTAGAAATAAATTTAATTGAAAAGAATTTTTTTCGAACATTCTTGGCTACCCTGTATAGTTTTTCAATCTATTGCACAGTAATGTTTATATTCAAAATTAAGTTTTTTTGTGTCATTCGCAGTATCTTACTAAAAATAAGAAATAAAACGTACTGCGTCAAAACGTTGAGAGTCCACAAAAATGCCTGTCCTTGGAATCTCGCCCAAAGTACAAGCATACGCATGCTGATTCCTCCACAACAGAGTGATGAGTGAAACAGCCACACCAATGGCCAATCCATAATCTATGTCCACTATAACAACTGACAAGAACGTGGCGACCCAAATCATGGCGTCCAACTTGCTGGACTGCCACGCTTGCTTCAAGTCCCTCAACTGCAGGAACATCCCTTTGAGTGACACCACGATGATGGACGATAAGATGCACTATATGAAAAAATAAATTTGTTTGAGTTCAATAAGTTTGAGTGATGAGTTTAAACACCAGGTTAGATTAAATTTCTAGCTTACTCTTGGCAACGGTTCAAACAATGGTCCCAGGAACAGCAAGACGATGACAATGAGACCTGCTGACACTATGCTGGCAATTTGAGTTGCTCCTCCAACTGATTCCTGAATCAAGCTTCTGGAAAGTGAGGCTGCAACTGGACCACACTGGAAAAATGACCCAACTATGTTGGCGAGTCCCTAAAAAGTAAAACGGTTAATAATGAAATCCAGTGTGCTTGAATAAAGAACTGCAGCTAAAACTAAGAGTAATATTATTTTGAATTGAGCTCACAACAAATAAAGCTATTATTATAATGAGAACTCACTACAGTATTATGTATTAAATAATGGTCTCAACAAAGTATATTACATTTAAATAAAATTCAAGTGAAATATTTGTGACTTCAAAAGTGAGTCTTAAATATTGACTGACTTGACATTAGGAAATTCTAATAAAGTATTATAAAATGATTCAAATTGTTCTGATTTTCTGAGTACAGAACATATTTTCCTAATAAAGTATACAGGAAAACACTTGAGAAATTAGAAACATTTGAATCTGTTTATAACATTTCAATACTGTATAATTTTGAATGTGATAAGTGGCTTGAAAATGGGAAGTACAGTACTGTACTAGAAAATTACCAGGCAACTATACAGGAGCTCATTGAGAACATCTATGAATGACTATTGCTATGAATAAAGAAGGTATGATGGCGCATGAAACTAAGTTGGACAAATGGTGAAGATAATGAGTCCTTAAAAATATCTTCCATAAGAACAGAAATGTGCAAATGTCAGTATAAGAAAATGTAAGTTATGCGGTTCCTCACCAAAGCCAGCAACTCCTGATTGGCATCAATGGCATAGTTCAGCCGTCTGGCAAAAATCCTGGCCATTGAATAAGATGTTGTGTAGGCCACCACAGCAATGACAATTGAACCTGCAAGGGCATCATGCAAAAGCTCCAGAGGTGGACTTTCAGGTGCTGGCAACCTTTTTAAAAAATTGCAAAAATGAATTTCTGCTTCAGGCAGATTAACTATAAAGTCTCTTACCCAGTTGGCACCTCTCCTATCACTGGTACTTTGTACTCTGCATTCAAATTTAGGAGGTATGACAATAGCGTTCCTCCCACCACTGCAATCAACTCTATGGGCACTGGCACTGAACACCTTCTTGCCAATCTTGGCTAAATAAAAAAGAGGAAAAAGAAAATGCAGAACTTTGATTGGAATTCAATGCATGAACTCTTCCCAAGGCTAAGCATTTTATATCATATTCTCTTCAGCAATAAATTCCCTTTTTTGCACTCACCGTAAATAAATAAAAATTTGTCCAATGGTTTCTGATTGGCAAGCCATCATTCAAAAGGTTCCAAAACATGCTCACCTTCACAAAATCATTGTTGATAACCAGGATGAACATGGTAACAAAAGACACTATCAGCGCAACAACATTGCTCTCCTTGAGGTGGTTCAAGACATACCAGTGAGTCTGAAAAGTAAGTGTAAATATGTTAGAATTATTGTAACTCAACAATGCTCTTAGTATGGACAATTTACTCTGATCAGCTTGGGAAAGCGGGTTTGTCTGGGTACAGTGATTCCAAATATGCCTTTGAGCTGAGAGGTTAGCACATGTACTGCTGCTCCAGTGGTGAATCCACTAACTAGAACATCTGACAGGAGCACTGACAAGGCTCCAAGCCTCAGCAGTCCCATGATCATCTTCAAAAAAAAGAAAAGAAATGATTTGGTGTAATCATGAATGCTGAATCTATGTAAGCAATGAAGTTGTCAGTGTAAAAATGCCCACCTGCCACATGCCCACTGCAAAAGTCACCAGAGCCACAGTCTGGGTGATTGTGTAATCATGTAAATGACTGGATCCATGTTTTTCCATGAGTTCCAGAGACACTGTTCCTGTCATCAATAAAACTACAGCAAAGGTACCTAGGCCACAAAAAGCAGAAGGAATTACACTAATGACTCTTGAGGATTAAATAAATAAAAAAATTATAGCATACCAATAGAGTTGTGTTTTGATGACCCAAAGATGATGTAGACTAGGACAGGGAAGAAGGCCATGTAAAGCCCATTCACAGCTGGTAACCCTGACAGCATAGCATAAGCCATTCCTGCAATTTAGAGTTTCAAAATAATTTCATATATTTTTCAAACTTAAAACTGAGCAGCATCAGGTGCTAACAGTATAGGAACTTATTTGTCACAACATTTGGATAATTAAGATGGGACAAAAAGTCCATACATTATTGAAAAAAAAAAATCTTTCATTGTGTATAAATGAGGCTGCCACAGCACTTGCATGTGTAATGATAGAGCAGCAGGCAGTCAATTTTCTACAAAGTATTTCAATTTTACTGCTAATTCTTCTCATGAACCGGCATGTCTCAGATGCAAAAGGCATACAATTCTAATTGAAAAATTAACTGACCTTGAAATCTATAATTATTCCATGTATAGTAATGTATTGCTTTACTATATTTTGTTGCAAGATCTTAAGGGCTTTATTAAAAATGCAAATGGTGATCAAGAAAGTACCAAAAAACCAGCATGGAATTGAAGCCACTCATTATAGTGAATATACAGTGGTTTGGATGTTTCAGACCCAACAATTTTGATTATTGTATTTATATAAGTGTAGAGAACTTGATTACAGGGCACTGAACTGAAAAAAAACTTATTAGAAACCATGTCCAGTAGAGTGACCATTATTTATATTGATCATATACTGTATATACCTTGAGGTATGTGCATCACAGCAACAGTAATCCCAGCAATCAGATCACCCAACATGTTTGACTTGAAATCATACTCAGGCAGCCATTTAAAAATTGGCACTCTCTTGTACAAATTGTTCAGCAAGCATTCCTTACTGCACTTGAAATTCATGCCTGTTGACACAGCAGACTTGGTTCTCTCCATGACACCTATGATGGGAAAGCAAAGCAAAAATGTCTCCAATTTCATTTAAAAATAAAACTTGATTAATTGAGATGCAAAAAATAAAAAATAAAAAACACTCACTGGCCTGTTTCTTCTCATGGTAGGCATATGATGTCAGGAACTCTTGTTGTGTCAGGGGACACCTGTCCAGGCCTGAGGAAGACATGATTCCCAGTGCAGCTTTATTCACACTGCTCCTCAAGATGTCGCTGGTGTCTGACTCCTCAAAAGAAACAGTGACATCTTGTGGCACTGCTGCACTCAGTCCACTGTAAGCACTCACAGTCTCACAGCAACCACTCTCACTATCACTGTCTCCATCTTTTTTCATCATTCACACCAAATCCCGGATATATTCTTCTACAGTATTTCACCAAGCAAATAAATATATGGTAAAAATACACAAGCATGCACTTCCAGAAATTAGTTTTCTAATGCCTGCTGCTGCCTTATTGTAAACACACACTGAAACATTTCTGCGCAAAACATATACACCTGCAAAAAGAAGTGTATGAATGAACCTGACCTTGTCTCTCCAGTCTCACGAGTGCGCCAATTATATTTTAGGGGCAAGGTCAGGGTTTTTTTCTCACTGAATGAAACACACAGCTTTTGGCCTTTATGAAAAAAAACACACAAGTACATGTTGCAAGACACGAACCGGTTTTTTGACGCGCACAGATTTTTCTTGGAATATCCAAGAGATAAAAAAAGAGAATACATATCTGGCAGGAGGGATCAATGGACGAGTGGAAAAATCCCAGGCGTATGTTGTTGTTGGATGCCTATTTTAACGATTTTCGCGCAAACTTATTTGCTCTAATATTCCTGCGCCATGAATTTGGAAGAAATCGATTTTATATCATTTAAGAATGTGTCTATTGTGATGATAGAAACATGGGGTAGAGAGTTTTTAAAAAAAAATGCCAGGCATAAATTCTACAGGTCCTGACTCGCCCAGGAAGACCCGAGCTGGGAACTGAAAGGGGTTCCTTGGTGGACTGCTGCCTTTTTTTTTTGCTGTACCTGTCCCTCAGTCACTCCCTCTGCTGCTGCTGTCATACCCCCTTTTTGTTTGATCGAAATTGGGGGGAGGAGAGAGACTTGTTGGGGGTAAAAGAGGGGGGAAGAAAGAGAGAGAGAACTTATTCCTCCTGGGGTGGATATAGGAAAACCCATCTGCTGTGTCTTGGTGTCCCCCTCAAGAGTTGTGGACTTCTACAAAGTTTTCCTTTTTTTGCAATTTTCAGCATAATATGTTTCCACCATATTGTACCATGAAAACCACATATAAAAGCCTTTCATACTGAAGGAATCATACAAGTATTTTATTTCTCCTAGAATTCAAGTGTGATGCATCAAAGAACATCTTTTTTGGCACTTGTATCAAAGATGATTTCCTCTGGATTTGATTAATATGCTGTACCATATGATGTGCTTCAAATATTTTTGAAAATATTCAAAAATGCTGTAAAGCCTTATTGAAAGTTTCTAGTGACGAGGTTGCATCATATATTCACCAAGGAATAAATAAAGCCAGGACCAAAACATTTATCATACACTACATATCTTCAAAAGATTAAAGAGCCATGATGAAGGAATTATAAAAGTGCTAGTTTCACCTTTATTCGCTTTTATTTCTTGTATTAAAATGTGTATGACTACTGTGATCAAATGGGAGGATGAGGAAAGAGAACATCCAGTCAAGTTTTTACAGGTTGTTCTTTCTTAGTGTTTATTTGGAATGTGGTGAATCTCAGAAGTATAGAGAGACAGACCTGTGCTTTACAATTAAAGAATTTCGAAGGTTTTTTGTTAATTTGTATGAATTGCACGCATGACCATTGAAAGGCATTATCAGCAAATTTCATTATAGTGATTCTAAAATTAAAACAGTCACACAATACAAAGACAACTCTTCATTTTAGTGAACCCCAGGGTTTCCTCTGTCAGAAAGTGCTCTTGCTAAAGTTTAAAAGGTATCATCAAAACTATTCACTGATCATAACTACAGAAATTAGGAAATAACTTGCTAGGAATTTTAAATTTAAAAAATTCATTCCTGGTTCATCAATGTACAGTACTGAGATGCCAGTCATCTCCAAAATTCACAATTGACCATGCAGTACATCAAAATAATTGGCAGATGTGCAAATTGCATCAGTCTTTCAACTCCTGTAGCTGAACTAAATTTTCCAAAGCGTCAATCATGTCTTTAACCTATGGACACTTCCTGGAAAAATATTTTCAGCGAATTTTTCAGGCGTTTGTCCTTGGATACATCAACATTCTGAACTCAATACATGATCACTTAAGTTGACTATAACATTTTTCACTCCACACGCGCCAGAATGCCCTTTGTTTTTTTTAGATGAAACTGAATCCCTCATATTTAAACACTTTCTATTTTATTAAGCATCCCAATGTCTTGTTATAGTTCCTTCTCAATCTTGGATGTTTAATGCAATAATTCTGCTATATTGTGCACTTCAGTTTTTTGCTGGCTTATCACAGGAGAGTGATTTTAATGTTTTCTGTGAAGCGAAGACATTTTTTGCAAGCCCCTCGCAATGTGCGCAGTCGCCCCCTGAATGTTTCCCCAAAAATTCTCCCACCCAAAGAGAGTTTTCTGAGTGAGAATGTTATACTGTAGAACCTAGAGGGGAGTGTAAAAGGCCAAGACCCTGAGAGTCCTGGGAGAGGGTATGGGATAGAATGAGAGGGAGTTAACTTGGGACATCCAAGGGGTCATGGACAAAGTTGTTGCTGTTCTGCTATATGTATTCTCCATCTTCATATTTTTGTTGCATCCTAGCTCATATGCTGTGGAAGACATTTTGCCACATGATACACTTGAAGGTTGGAAATAGGACAAAATGGGATTCCTTCTAATTTATAGCATTTTCAGTTCTTCAATATATTTTCTGGGGTACATGATTTTTTCCTTGGTGAGCCGCAGAACAGACCAGCATCAGTGTGAAGACCTTTTTGAAGCAGGTTTGTTTTTCATGGTTCATGGAGGATTTTTAAGGTTAATTCAAAGGAGGCTGAACCCTTCTCAATTTCACTTTCATGCATGCAGGATGTCAGAATAAAGGAATCTTTTAAATAATTTAAACTTTTGGAGGCCACAGAGTTTATTAACTGTTCTGTACATTTGATTACTTATGAAATGTGTTGATTACTACAGCAGTTCAAGATTAATATCCCTAATACAGTGTGAGGATAGTTTTCTATCATCAGAGCAATATTTGATTCTTGTAAGTTTATGTGAAGGATCTCCATGTGGGAACGCTGCTTAAGGAAGTGAGGGATTGTTGAAAATAGTTTCCCAGGGGGGAGAATTTCTCATCACCATGGTGACAGACATCCAGGTCATGTGCTTCCTCCCATCAGCTGATGATGTCATCCCAATGTTTGGGTATACAGTGATACTGACATCTACCTGTTGTGATAAATACTTTTTTGGGACTTTCAGATTTTGAGAGCAGGTGTCGCTCAAATCTGCCGCCTCTCAACTGCATCGAAACACTGCAATAGTGATAAATGGGCACAGAACAAGATTAAAGAAATGTAAGCGAAGGAGTTTGACAGAAATTCTTCATTTCCTCACTTTCAGTCGAATGAAATCTCATGGAATCCCTGGCGGGAACAAGGTTTCATTATTCAAGAGCCATTCTTTTTCAAATTCACAAAAAAAAAGGTTTGATGGAGAGGACACAGTTTCATGTCATGGCACAAAATAAGAAAAAGCAAATAGTTTAAAAAACGAAAACCGAATGCCTTTTTCACAAAGGAGAATTCATCACAAATCCCCCTTTCAAGGGTCAGTCAGAGGAACACAGAAGTGAAGAGTAAAAGGGTTCAAGATTAAATATTTTCCGCGCGTTTGCACCAGGAAGACAAAATCCATCTTTTTTCTTCACTCCCCACAGAAGAGAAAATAAAAATATTCCCTTTTCAAAAAAGTTTTGTCAGGACATGAGTCAAACTCCCCCCAAGTATATGAGGATTCTTCCCTTCGAATTGCGAACAAACAAAAAACGAGGGGTTGGTACAAAAAATTCCCAGCCTTTTTTCTTTCACCTTTCTCTATGTGGAGGAAGAAGAAAAAACTTCTTCATTGGTATCACAAAAGGGGTGTGCAAATATCACGACTTTCTGCCGACCAGAGCCAGAAATATCTTCTTGCCCATTGCTTCACCGTTTGGTTCCTTTTGGCTCCAAGTGGATTGGCTCCAAATTCCTGGGCTTGTGTTTCCTGTTGAATTGTAAAAAAAAAAAATGTGAAAGACGCCAAATTCCCTTAGGATAAATTCAACGAAAAAGAAGAAATTCATTGGATTCAAGAAGAAGTTCGGAAATATTTCCTCAGGAATTTCGCTTATTTATTGAAAAAAAAAATTTTTCTCAGCTCTTCAGCCTTGGAAAAAAATGCAACTCCCATAATATCTTTCAAGAAGTATCCAACTTTATCATATACGTTCCGTTGGATTCAAGAAAAAGTTTCGAAATATTTTCTTGGGGATTTCGCATATTTAGTGAAAAATTTATTCTCAGTTCGTTCATCAGTCTTGGAGGATAATAAAAACTCCCAATTTCCTCTGCCATCCAACTCAAAAAAATAATTTTCAATGCCTTAAGATTAAGCTTTGAAATATTTCTGCAGGAATTCCACATATTTATAGTAAAAAGAATATGTATGCTTTTCAGTTTAGGTGAAAAATACAAAGCCAATTTCTTTCAAGAAAAATCCCAATCAATGAAGTAATTTTTTTTAATTGAAGAAAAAAGTTTCACCGGAATTTTGCATATTTAATTTAAAAAAATGTTCTTGGCTCATCAGTCTTTGACAAAAAAATTGGAAAAAAATATTTCAACACTTATTTTACTCACGAATATGGAGAAAACGGCGTGCCAACAATGAGCACATGGCTTCCATTCACATGAAGCCTCCAGGATCCTTTGTGATACCCCCTGGCATCGAGATCCCAAATCTTAAAGCACTGCAAGAATAAATAAAAAAGGGCTGTTAAAAAGTAGCGACATCTACATGGAATCATATAAAAAAACGAACCTTTGCCACTTGCAGCCAAGTGGTAAAATCCTTTTCATTCTCCATTTTAATGAAGGCTACAAAAGTTTTTCCCTCTCCTGCCTGAAAATAAATGAGTTCATGAAGGTAAACTGAAGGTTTAAAAAAGATTCAATTTCCAATGAATTCACTTACTGCAGAAGTTGGAACAAAGTTTTCATCACAAGGCGACAAAGTGTGGTTCACAAAATCCGCTCTTGAGAGTAATTCTTGAATCACCTCTTCATAATCCACTTTCTTCAGTCTATTCAAAACATAAGCATATGAAAAATGTAAAACTGCTTCCTGTACTCCACTGAAAATAAAATATACACTNATAGTATACCTTTTCTGGCCCAGGCCACCTGGGTTCAAGCTCTTTCTGATACAGGGTCCTTTGCAGCATCCAGCCAAGTCCTGGCATCCCTTCTACCCTGTACAACAAACTGGGGTCTTTGGATGTGTGCTCATAGCTGTTGTCATTCCAGGCTGATATGCACCATATTGAATCATCCTCCAGCAGAAGTGGGGCCAGTTGGCTGAAATAGCTGGAGGCACAAGAAGAGAGAGAGAGACATAAAATCTTCAAAATACTTGAAAAAGATCTAAAACTACACACCTGAAGAAATCTGGAGAAATGTCCAGGTCCTCCTCCAGAATAATTGCAAAATCAGCGCGCTGTAAAAAAAAATCCAGTAAAATTTCCTTGAATAAACTTGATTTCCCTCAAAAGTGAATGGGATTAATACATACACTATTTGCAAATAAAAATTGATCCGCAATGAGAAAAAAATGTCCTTCTTAAAGCTGTTTTCAAATAGAGCAAATCATGCAAGAAAAAGTCATAATTACTAAAAGCTCCACGTAATAAAAATGTCAAAATCCCTGAAATTTAATTTGAACCTTGAAAAATGTTCATCTTAAAGAAAGTTTCACGGATTTCCAAGTTCTATCCAAGCGAAATTGCAAAAGCAAAAACCATGTTTGGCATCCTATTCATAATTTTTTTTATAACTTAAACTCAAATCCTTTAATTCTTTTTTATAAATAACACGGAAAGAAAAAAAAAATCATCCGCAAATTTTGAAAATAATTTTCATTAAATTGACTCTCTTCAAAATTTAATTAGTCGAAGGTAAAAAAAAAAACATTTCATTCTGTGAAAAATATACAGTTTGATCTCTATTCATCTGCAACTTCAGTATAATCCTCAATATATATTTAAAAAAAAACGTGTGGGTTCTCCTTATTGTTCAGGCTTATCACTGACACATCCCTGACATTTATTGAAATAATCCCAATACAGGAAACACGTTCACTTTTTGTCTGTGCGAGGGGGAAAAGAGAGAGAGAGAAGAAAATATAGAAAACAATGCTTCCTTTCTTTCTG